CCTTCATTTTAAACTTCAATCAAAAAATATTCTACCCAAACATGCGTTTTTCAAAATAAATTTAAGAAATGGGAGAGGAAATGAACTAACTAAAACACACTAGAATTTTCCGCAAACAAAACTTTCAATCAGTTGAAAAGAGTCAGTGAACGCCAAGAAATAGAAAAAATCCTGACTTGTTGTTTTTGGAAAAACTTCAGATTACAAAATGCGCAAATAAAATTTGTTTTAAGGGTCTCTGAGCTTCCACAATAATTTATTTCTGAGTTTTTTTGACAAAATTAACCCAGTTTTAGTAAACAGGATCAATTCGCTAATGTATCTTTTCGCTGAAAAATCTGAAAATCAAAATCTAATTTCGATATTAGAAGACGACTACCGTTTTTGTAACCTTTGCACTTTTAAAAAAGGAATTGAACTACACATAAAAAATTCAACCAGCGAAAAATTTAATTTCAGCGTTAACTAACATTCAGTCTCTTTCCGAAAAAAAATTAAATGCGAGCTTTATAAGAGCTTTCACTGCGTTCATTGGCTTTTAAAAACCAACTTGAACCAAAATAATGGTTTTGCTACTGAAAAGATCGCAAAAGAAATGAAACACTTTTACCCAAAGTTTAAATTGTCTTGATGCAACGCTAAAAATTGACTTAAAACTGAAAAGTGAAAGAAGCTGAAACAATTCAACTTATTTCATAAAATAAATCGGTTTTCGAAAAATTCAATTTTTTCTAGGCAAGCTATTCAAGCTATGAATCTCTGTAACGAAGTGAATCGGATGGCGAAAAATTTCAGTTTTTCTAATGAAGCCATTTAAGCGATGAAACTCTTAAGCAATTCAAATTTTTTAATAGACTGAATCGTTCCGTGAAAAACCGAATTTGTCTTAAGCAATTTATTCTAAAACTTCAATTTATTTTAAAAGCGAATCAGTCCAAGAACAATCAGTTTTCATTAATTAAGCTATTCACGCTATGAAATTTTGAAATATTTTAAATAATTTTAAAGACGGATTCAGTTCGCAAAATATTTAAGCTTTTATAAATCAGAAGATTTTAGCTATGAAACTATGAAAAACTTCAAAGACTGAAACGGTTCGTAAGATATCTGAAGTTTTTTTGTAAGCAAGCTATTCCAACTCTCTGACTTTTTTTGAATTTTTTCTTTGTTTAACCGAATCAGTTTGCAAAAATTTAAGTTCTTCTAAGCATGCTATTCAAACCATGGAAATCGGTTTGCTGAAAATTTGTTCTTCTAAACCTGAAGCTTGCTGTTTTTAGTGTAATCGTTTGAGAAAATAAAATTTATTTTATAGAGCGAATCGGATGGCGAAATCTTAATGCTTTTTGATTGAAGTCATTCATGCTATGATACTTTGAAACATATATTATTTCATAGATAAGGTTTTTGGAGTAAGCTATTATTTATGAAACTTTGAAATATTCCTAGTTATTTCCTGTAGCGAACCGGATGGCTAAAAGTTATTATTTCTATTGATGCGATTCATGCGATGAAGTATTGAATACTGTAAGTGATTTCATAGACCGACTCAATTCGCAAGAAAAACAAAGTTTTTCAATTGAAACCATTCAAACTATAGTACTTGGAAATATGTCAAGTCTTTTCATAGAGCGAATCGGGCGGCAATGAGTTAAGTGTTTCCAATCGAGCTATTAGTTATGAATTTTTGAAGACTCTGTTCTTTTACGTAGTGAATCGAATGGAAAAAAGTTTGTTTAGTTCTTTTGAAGCAATGAAACTTCTGAAGCAATCACTTCATAGACCAAATCATTTAGGAGAAGTTCTTGTTCAGATATTTCTGAGCAAGCAATTCCAGCTATTAAACTTTGAAATATTTCAAATTATTTCAGGTAGCGAATCGGATGGCGAACCGTTCAAGATTTTCTAAGCCAGATATTCCAGCTAATAAACTTTCAGCTACGTAATAGCTGTCTTTCTCAGACCGATTCCTTTTGCGAAAACTTGAAGTTTTTTGAAGCCCTTCAAGCTACGATATTTTGAAAAATTTTAAGCTATTATATAGAGCTTATCGAAAAACAAGAAGTTAAGATTCTCTAAGCAGGCTATTAGTAATGAAATTTTGATTTAGTTCAAGTAAATTAATGAAGCTAATGGGATGGCAAAAATTTTAAGTTATTCTAGACAAATTATTTTTCGGGTCATTTTTGGACCAAAATGGTTTGCAAAAATGTGTTTCTAAGCAAACTATCCGAGCTAATCGGATGGCGAAATGTTTGAAAGTTGATTTTGGAGCCATTCAATTGATGAAACATTGAATTATTTTGAATGGTTTCATAGAGCAAATCAGTCCGGGAAAGTTCAAGTTTCTCTTATCCCAGCTCTGAAAGTTTAAACTGTTTCAAGTTCTTTCATAGATCAAACATTTTAGCAAAAAATTGGGTTTTCTTAGGAAGCAAGTTAATTTTTAAAACGTCAATTTATTTCACAGAGCGAATTTTCTTTTTGCAAGCTATTCAAGAGATGAAAAGACAAAATAATTCAAATTAATTCATAGATTAAATCCATTCGCAAAAAAAAAATTTCTTGAGAAAGCTATTCAAGTTATGACATTTTGAAAATTAAACCATAGGCCGAATCGGTTCGCAAAAACTTCAGGCTATGAAAACTTTAAAAATGTCGAGTTATATGTTACACCAAATTGGTTTGTGAAAAATTAGAGTTTTCTTATGAATGCTATTCAAACTATAAAAACTTAAAATATTTCAAGTTAACTCATGAAGCGAACCAGTTCGCAAAAACATCACATTTTTTTTTCTTAAGCAAACAATTCAAGCTATGATATTACTCAAGTTCTTTTTTAGAATGAATCGGTTCACGAAAAATGAAGTTTTTCTAAGCAAGCTTTTCCACTTCTGAAACACATCAACTTGCTTCAATGACCGCATCGGTTCACAAAAAAGCCAAAAGTTTTCTAAGCAAGCTATGAAGCCTTGTAGGTTATTTCATAGAACAATTCGTTTCGCAAAAAAAAAACTAAGCTTTTGTAAGCAAGCTATTCAGACTGTTAAGTTTTGAAATATTTAAATTTACTTTAACGAACAAATCAATTCGCAAAAACTTAAGTTGCTCAAAGCAAGCTATTTGAAACATTTAAGTCATTCCACAAAGCAAATCGTTTTAGTAGCGATCAAAAAGGACTTGGTACCCACCTCTCCAATCCACCCCTGTTAATATTTCATATCTCATCATCAGTGATTTGGTTCAACCAACGCCGCCAAAGGTACGTATCTGTCAAAGTAAGATTGATGTACATGAAACTACTTCAACAGCAAAAATTAGGAAATAAAACATTTAATTGTTAAAACTGATGTTAGAATAATTGCTATCAACCCGATAACGTTATTTTATGTAACAGTTCTAGCAGCCTTTCGACACAAAAAATGGCGTTAATACATGAAGAAATTAACAACAAAACTCAGAGATATGTTTGAAAATGACTGACGCTTCACAACAAAAACGTCTAAATCTCTGAGAAAACTAAGTGACCCGAAACAAAAACAAATCGCGAAACTCCTGACACTAAATATTGAATATTCGAGTCACTTGCTAGTATAATAGTATATTTACAGCTATCATCAATCTAGTTCATAAAAATACAAAGATAAACTTGTTTTTAATTTGAAACCGGAGCAAATCAATGAAAAAAATTTCTTCTAACTAAGGATTTTATATTTCCGCATACATTTCATTGCGTTTGAAGCTCGTTTTGAAGAAAAATTTTTCTTGCTGAATGATTTGCATGAAACGATAGGATAACTAAAGGATTCTAAAGTGACGCCCAATCTGTAATTCTCAATGCAGAATACACACAGATATAAATTATTCAGTCAGGTGTCGAAAAAACCACCACTTTTCATTGAAAATTGGGCCATTTTAATAAGGTAATAGAATTATGCCCCAAAATAAGTCAATGAAAGACGGCAGTTAAGTTACTCAGTAGTCCTGACAATAAATCTGACAAAAAAGTAGGTAAGCTTCTTGTTTGCTTTCGATTGAAGCCGATGACTTCAAGCCCTGCTATGTTAATATTTCGGGGGAGAAGATTCGAGTTTCAGATATCATTCAACGCATCTTTTGTTTTTAATCTAGAAATCTACAACTTTTATCTACCAATTAAAGTGACAGGAATTTAATTGAAGATTTATAATGAGCACTGGTTTTAAAGCTCAACCGCCCAACAACTCGTAGACAAGAAAGATGTTGATTAATCGATATTTGATTTTTCCTACCCCCCAGTAAAGTATCAGGAATTTTACTAGTAAAGTTACCGTTCGCATTGTCAGATTGTTACAAAAATTGGCGCGCAGACTAGGCCATGACCAACAGTTAGGCCTGATAATTAAACTTGATAAAACCCCACCAAAAAAACTGATGCTTATCTGAGGTTGGGGGGGGGGGGGGGGTTTCGGAAAAAAAGTGTCGACATTTTTTTGTATAATTATTAGGAAATTTTGAGCTGTTGACCAGAACTTTGAATCAATTGGCAAAAATTAAGCCGAGCAGAACAAGCTTTTTTTATCACATCAACTTGAATTTGAAATACTCAATTTCAAAGGCCACAAAAGCTTGTTCTACTCCCTTCAATTGAGAAAGAAGATACTGTTCGTGTAACTTTCGCCAAACAATGGTGAAACACTTAATGATGTCATTTAATGGGCGCTGTCTTCCTAAGTATGTTTCTGATTTTCAACCGTTTTTTGTCTAGTCATCACGAAAATGAGGATGCCGATATGTGAAATTGGCAGACGATTAATATTAGCTAGTTTTCCATCATTTTCAGCTAGAATGCTTAGTAAACTTTCTCTTCAATCTTTATGAACATACTTATGAGTGACACACCCTTAGATAAAACACTATATTTGACAGTTTGCTCGAGAAGGCAGAAAGAAGTGGACTTAAAGTGAGTTTCTTTGTGGGTTAGGGCTAGAACAGCGTTTTCTGTTCTGTTCTTTTTAGTTGTGCTGTATTGAGACGAGTGCTTGTTTCTTTCGGTGTTCTTTCATACTGAATTTCCTCATTTGAGAGCACCATTCAGTCTGTATATCTAAAACATGGCCAACAGACATTTAGAAAAGAACAAGGAAACCAAAAAATGATAGAACATTTCAAAACGTTTTTCAACATTCGAATATCATAAAATCAAAATTGAGCGTGATATAAATTTTCCTGCGTGACTTTCCTGAATTAAATCATTAATACCCATTTCTTTTTTTCTGCACTTTAACACCAAAAACAGATATTTTGAGGAAAAAATGTCCAAACATTGCCAACTGACAGATGGAGAAGTGTTGAACGCAAGGAAACAGAAAAAAACAGTCTTGTTTTTTGAAAATCTCTCAAGTTTCGAAGAAAAAATGGATGGACTTAAGCACTTCAAATTTCTAGAACAATTCGTGATTGAAAAATTTTTCATAAAAGTAACCCTATTTAAGAAAACTGGATCAATAAGTAGCAATTTTTTTTTCGCTGGCAAATGTGAATATTAATTTCCACTTTCGAAACTAGAAGTCGATCACGTTTTTCGTGACCTTTACATTTTTGCTGTTCGCTAGAGGATTTTGACTTCCTTTTAAAAATGGAAATGCACTGAGGTTAAAAAAATTACAAATAAAAAAAAATCAAAGTAAGCGTGAACAAAAATTTTAAGACCTTTTCGTGAAAAAACAAACAATCAAAATCACCAAGACTTATATAAGAGTCTTCATTACATTTAATACTCTTAAAAAGAGGGTTTCGAAGGGGGTTCCAGCATTGAGAAGCTGCTTTTACGCGAGATAAAAAGGCCAGCACAGCTTGATTCGGCATGTTAGAACCTCTAAAATGCAAGAGGCCCAACTTCAATAAAGTTTCAAACATCATTGAATTGAGTTTTAGCCGTTACAAACTAAGGACAATGCAGGTCTTCTAGATTGTTTTTAGAGTTAAATAAATTCTAGAAAAACTGCAATAATTACTGATTTTAGACTAATATTGATCGGACTCTTTTCAGCAAATTTTAGAAAACAAAACAATCAGCTATACTCACTGTTTAGAACACTTTTCAGCAAATTTTGGAAAACAAAACAATCAGCTATACTCACTGTTTAAAAACATTAACTAATAAATCTGGAGGAACTGAGGTGACGATAACTCAATCTGAAACAAACACAAACACCAGCGTAACTTCTTTACTCTTCACTGGCCCATTATTAAACACTACTTTCATGTAACATTATAAATTTCCATAGACTTGCTTCATTTTACCACCATAATTTTCAGTTCTATTTTCATTTCCTGGTATAGATACACATACATTCCAATAACACATGTCAAGGTTCCTTTGTTTGACTAACTTCTGATTGCAAAATGACTTTTAGAGTTTTTGTCTTCTCTTGAACTCCAGGCTCAAATGCAAATATGTTACCATAGCAACTTCATTTTTGCGTCATTTGTTCACAAAATAATAAATATGTTCTCGAATAATTATAGCTTCAAAGTTTTGAATATTCTGACGCCGCAAGAAACATGTTTTCGTTCCTCAGTAGCAAACTCGATTAAGCAACTACAAAATTAAAAGCACAATACGTTGCTTTCATACCATTCACAGATATTTAAACGCTTCAGACGGTATTCAGATTATGCAATGATTGGTTTCAAACCATGTTTTAAGTCAGTGGCGTGTTGTTATGGTATATATGAACAGAGATGGTAACGACAACTAATCGATTGTAAAGCGGTCAATTTTTACTTACTTCTTTGGTCTGAATGAGCAGCTTTTGCTCCGTTGTTTGAGCTGGCAATAGCCTAAAATAATACGGCATTTGGAACATTCGGAACAGTCCTTTTCAATCACTTTCCACATCAGATTTAAAAGAGATGGTAGTTCGGACTGGAAAGACTCGACCCGTAATTAAAAAGTTTAAAATCTAATAACATTTATGACTTATGATGTTCATAAGGTGTCGAAACCTGTATGAAAGTAGAATTAAATGGCATTGTGTTTTTAGTCTGTTGCTCATAAATTGAGCATACCTGGATCTCTAAATTGAGCATACCTGGCTCTCTAAATTGAGCACAATTAGATCTCTAAATTGAGCAGACCTGGATCTCTAAATTGGGCATACCTGGGAACTCTGCGTGGGAACTGGCTCTTGTCCACCTGACCTCTGCTGTCGGAGCATGGTCCAGTCGAACATGTAGTCGTACTGGTGGTTGAGGGTTCGGAACAGGATGCGGAACAGCTGTCTCAAGTACATGTAGTCTGGGGCCTCTTCGAAGCGAAGGTGCTTGCAGTAGTTCAAGAACATGCCGAACTCCGCCGGAAATCCCTACATCACAGACGAAACTTATGAATATCAAAATAAATTAACCTAAAAAAATTTAACCAAAATAATCAAAACAAAATCTGAATTTTGAGTTCATATTTATTTTGCTCAGCTCAAGGCGAAGCCCTGAATGTTCCTACTGCCCTTCAACGTCTTTAAAACAGATTTTGGAAACAACAACTGGGAAATAATAAATTTTCAAAATAAAGATTATGCCAAGTACAAAAGGATGATCTTTGCGTCTAGTAACGTATTCAAAACCAAAAGTATCTTGCTGTAATTCAATTTGGACATTTCTTGAGCGCATTAAAAACAGTGCTGATTTAAACTTTTCGGGCAAAACGCATCAAACTTAGAAATTTAAAACTCTTTTTTTTTCAAACTGAGTTGTCTTTAGGTGCAAAATGATTAAACCGAGAATTGCTTAGGACTTCAGCAGAATTAAAATGGTGCAATATGTTTTGTTTTGCAAATCTCAGGCCCAAAATTTTACCTTAAAAAGGGATCATTTTTGGCTGTTTTAGTCAATCACTGACATAATTATATGAAACAGCCCGTTTTGTAGCCCAAAAAGAATTGTAGAAAAGTATATTCGCCAAAACATTGTGTTAATTATTTATTTTTGTTTGATACACAAAAAGAAAATTGATTTTTACTACATAAAACACCAATTCTACATTCAAAAACGATTTTTAAAAGTTTCGCGCAATTTGTTTTAGAGAATACACCCCTCTTAAATTTTTTTTGGCTACGTAAAAATCTCACTTTGATTTAATTATGTCAATGATAAGTAGTTATGGTGCAGTTTTCGTTTGACTAAAAATCCAAAAAAGATCCCTTTTGGATTAAAATTTTGGGCCAAAAACAATCCCTTTTGAATTGAATTGCCAAAAACAAGTTGCACCATATTAATTCTGTTGAAATTGTAAACAATTTTCTTTTGCATCAATTTTCACTTCAATTCAACCCAAAAAACAAATACACGAAGCCAAGGCCAGTAGAATTACAAATTGCCAAAAAAAAACTACAAGTAAAATGCTACCACAAAATCTCTAAAATGTGGCAACTAAGCTCGACAAAAATATTAAACAGACTAATAATAAGCCATTTTTAAACGGAATATTTACCGTGTAATAAAAACAGGTCGTACTCAGTTTCAAACCCACGAGGTTTGCTATTCCAGATGTTTTCATTCACTCCAGATTATGTGTGCCCCATACGCTTACTAGGGCAATTAAGATTCGATGAACGTAGGTCGGACTCTTATATAGTAATAAGTAAAAGCTTATTATGTTTCAGACTTTCCTGTATAATTATTAGGAAATTTTGAGCTGTTGACCAGAATTTTAAATCAATTGGTAAAAATTAAGCAGAGCAGAACAAGCTTTTTTTATCATGTCAACTTGAATTTGAAATACTCAATTTCAAAGACCACAAAAGCTTGTTCAACTCCCTTCAATTGAGAAAGAAGATACTCTTTGTGTAACTTTCGCCAAACAATGTTGAAATACTTAATGATGTCATTTAATGGGCGCTGTCTTCCTAAGTATGTTTCTGATTTTCAGCCGTTTTTCGTCTAGTCATCACGCAAATGAAGATGCCGATATGTGAAATTGGCAGACGATTAGTATTAGCTAGTTTACCATCATTTTCAGCTAGAATGCTTGGTAAACTTTCTCTTCAATCTTTATGAACATACTTATGAGTGACACCCCCTTAGATAAAACACTATATTTGACAGCTTGCTCTAGAGGGTAGAAAGAAGTGGACTTAAAGTGAGTTTCTTTGTGGGTTAGGGCTAGAACAGGGTTTTCTGTTCTGTTCTTTTTAGTTGTGCTGTATTGAGAAGAGTGCTTCTTTCTTTCGGTGTTCTTTCATACTGAATTTCTTCATTTGAGAGAACCATTCAGTCTGTATATCTAAAACATAGCCAACAGACAGTTGGAAAAGAACAAGGAAACCAAAAAATGATAGAACATTTTAAAACGTTTTTCAACATTCTAAATTCATAAAATCAAATTTGAGCATGATATAAATTTTCCTGCGTGACTTTCCTGAAAAAAGTCATCAATACCCATTTCTTTTTTTTGCACTTTAACACCAAAAACAGATATTTTGAGGAAAAAATGTCCAAACATTGCCAACTGACAGTTGGAGAAGTGTTGAACGCAAGGAAACAGAAAAAAACAGTCTTGTTTTTTAAAAATTTCTCAACTTTCGAAGAAAAAATGAATGGATTTAAGTACTTCGAATTTCTAGAACAACTAATGATTGAAAAAATTTTCATAAAGTAACCCTATTTGAGAAAACTGGATCAATAAGTAGAAGTTTTATTTCGCTGGCAAATGTGAAAATTAATTTCCACTTTCGAAACTAGAAGTCGATCACGTTTTTCGCGACTTTTACACTTTTGATGTTCGCTAATGATTTTGCCTTCCTTTTAACAATGGAAATGCACTGAATTTAAGAAAATTACAAATAAAAAAAATCAAAATAAGCGTGAACAAAAATTTCAAGACCTTTTCGTGAAAAAACAAACTATCAAAATCACCAAGACTTATATAAGAGTCTTCATTACATTCATTACTCTTAAAAAGAGGGTTTCGAAGGGGGTTTCAGCATTGAGAATCTGCTTTTACGCGAGATAAAAAGGCCAGCACAGCTTGATTTGGCATGTTAGAACCTCTAAAATGCAAGAGGCCCAACTTCAATAAAGTTTCAAACATCATTGAATTGAGTTTTAGCCGTTACAAACTAAGGACAATGCAGGTCTTCTAGATTGTTTTTAGAGTTAAATAAATTCTAGAAAAACTGCAATAATTACTGATTTTAGACTAATATTGATCGGACTCTTTTCAGCAAATTTTAGAAAACAAAACAATCAGCTATACTCACTGTTTAGAACACTTTTCAGCAAATTTTGGAAAACAAAACAATCAGCTATACTCACTGTTTAAAAACATTAACTAATAAATCTGGAGGAACTGAGGTGACGATAACTCAATCTGAAACAAACACAAACACCAGCGTAACTTCTTTACTCTTCACTGGCCCATTATTAAACACTACTTTCATGTAACATTATAAATTTCCATAGACTTGCTTCATTTTACCACCATAATTTTCAGTTCTATTTTCATTTCCTGGTATAGATACACATACATTCCAATAACACATGTCAAGGTTCCTTTGTTTGACTAACTTCTGATTGCAAAATGACTTTTAGAGTTTTTGTCTTCTCTTGAACTCCAGGCTCAAATGCAAATATGTTACCATAGCAACTTCATTTTTGCGTCATTTGTTCACAAAATAATAAATATGTTCTCAAATAATTATAGCTTCAAAGTTTTGAATATTCTGACGCCGCAAGAAACATGTTTTTGTTCCTCAGCAGCTAACTCGATTAAGCAACTACAAAATTAAAAGCACAATACATTGCTTTCATACCATTCACAGATATTTAAACGGTTCAGACGGTATTCAGAATATGCAATGATTGGTTTCAAACTATGTTTTAAGTCAGTGGCGTGTTGTTATGGTATATATGAACAGAGATGGTAACGACAACTAATCGATTGTAAAGCGGTCAATTTTTACTTATTTCTTTGGTCTGAATGAGCAGTTTTTGCTCCGTTGTTTGAGCTGGCAATAGCCTAAAACAATACGGCATTTGGAACATTCGGAACAGTCCTTTTCAATCATTTTCCACATTAGATTTTAAAAAGATGGTAGTTCGGACTGGAAAGACTCGACCCGTAATTAAGAAGTTTAAAATCTATTAACATTTAGGCGTTCAGAAGAGACTTATGATGTTTATAAGGTGTCGAAACCTGTATGAAAGTAGAATTAATTGGCATTGTGTTTTTAGTCTGTTGCTCATAAATTGAGCATACCTGGATCTCTAAATTGAGCATACCTGGCTCTCTAAATTGAGCACAACTAGATCTCTAAATTGAGCATACCTGGATCTCTAATTTGGGCATACCTGGGAACTCTGCATGGGAACTGGCTCTTGTCTACCTGACCTCTGCTGTCGGAGCATGGTCCAGTCTAACATGTAGTCGTACTGGTTGTTGAGGGTTCGGAACAGGATGCGGAACAGCTATCTCAAGTACATGTAGTCTGGGGCCTCTTCGCCAAAGTATATTCACCAAAGCATTGTATTAATTATTTATTTTTGTTTGATACACAAAAAAAAATTGATTTTTACTACATAAAACACCAATTCTACATTCAAAAACGATTTTTAAAAGTTTCGCGCAATTTGTTTTAGAGAATACACCCCTCTTAAATTTTTTTTGGCTACGTAAAAATCTCACTTTGATTTAATTATGTCAATGATAAGTAGTTATGGTGCAGTTTTCGTTTGACTAAAAATCCAAAAAAGATCCCTTTTGGATTGAAATTTTGGGCCAAAAACAATCCCTTTTGAATTGAATTGCCAAAAACAAGTTCCACCATATTAATTCTGTTGAAATTGTAAACAATTTTCTTTTGCATCAATTTTCACTTCAATTCAACCCAAAAAACAAATACACGAAGCCAAGGCCAGTAGAATTACAAATTGCCAAAAAAAAACTACAAGTAAAATGCTACCACAAAATCTCTAAAATGTGGCAACTAAGCTCGACAAAAATATTAAACAGACTAATAATAAGCCATTTTTAAATGGAATATTTACCGTGTAATAAAAACAGGTCGTACTCAGTTTCAAACCCACGAGCTTTGCTATTCCAGATGTTTTCATTCACTCCAGATTATGTGTGCCCCATACGCTTACTAGGGCAATTAAGATTCGATGAACGTAGGTCGGACTCTTATATAGTAATAAGTAAAAGCTTATTATGTTTCAGACTTTCCTGTATAATTATTAGGAAATTTTGAGCTGTTGACCAGAATTTTAAATCAATTGGTAAAAATTAAGCAGAGCAGAACAAGCTTTTTTTTATCATGTCAACTTGAATTTGAAATACTCAATTTCAAAGACCACAAAAGCTTGTTCAACTCCCTTCAATTGAGAAAGAAGATACTCTTTGTGTAACTTTCGCCAAACAATGTTGAAACACTTAATGATGTCATTTAATGGGCGCTGTCTTCCTAAGTATGTTTCTGATTTTCAGCCGTTTTTCGTCTAGTCATCACGCAAATGAAGATGCCGATATGTGAAATTGGCAGACGATTAGTATTAGCTAGTTTACCATCATTTTCAGCTAGAATGCTTGGTAAACTTTCTCTTCAATCTTTATGAACATACTTATGAGTGACACCCCCTTAGATAAAACACTATATTTGACAGCTTGCTCTAGAGGGTAGAAAGAAGTGGACTTAAAGTGAGTTTCTTTGTGGGTTAGGGCTAGAACAGGGTTTTCTGTTCTGTTCTTTTTAGTTGTGCTGTATTGAGAAGAGTGCTTCTTTCTTTCGGTGTTCTTTCATACTGAATTTCTTCATTTGAGAGAACCATTCAGTCTGTATATCTAAAACATAGCCAACAGACAGTTGGAAAAGAACAAGGAAACCAAAAAATGATAGAACATTTTA